TGGACGGGCAGGACTGGAGAGCCGGGCTGGACGGGCAGGACTGGAGAGCCGGGCTGGACAGGCAGGTCAGGCCGGACAGGAGGGTCAGGCGGTGCCGCTGGCAGAGCGGCGGCCTCAGGCAGGGCCGCGGGCAGAGCGGCGGCCTCAGGCAGGGCCACGGGCAGAGCGGCGGCCTCTTGTAGGGCCGCGAGCAGAGCGGTGGCCTCATGCAAGGTCACGGGCAGAGCAGCGCCAGCAGGGGGCTCCTCAGACGTGCGGCCAGCAGGAGGTGCCTCAGCGGGCACCCCGGGCGTTTGGCCAGCAGGGGGCGCCACAGCGGGCACCTCAGGCGCGCGGCCAGCAGGGGGCTCCTCGGCGGGCACCTCAAGCGCGCAGCCAGCAGGGGGCGCCTTGGCAGGCACCGCTGACACGTGGCCATCAGGGGGCGCCTCGGCGAGCGCCGCCGACACGCAGCCAGCAGGGGGCGCCTTGGCAGGCTCCGCCGACACGTGGCCATCAGGGGGCGCCTCGGCGAGCGCTGCCGACACTTGGCCAGCAGGGGGCGCCTCGGCGGGCCCCTCCGACGGACCCGCGGGCAGTGCGGCGGCAGTAGCAGCTGGTGCTGCTGGCAGGTCAAGAGCAGGTGCGTCCGGAGCAGGCGTGTCCGGAACATGCGCGTCCACAACAGGCGGGTCCGGAACAGGCGGGTCCAGAGCGGGTAAGCCTAAGGGCTTTAGAGACCCGGGGAATAGCGTCCCGGATGGCGCTAATCCCCTTGCTGTGCAGGCGCTCCGGCCAGTATTGATACGCCTCCAATGGAGGCGGCTTCTCTGGGTGGAAGCCGGCCAGGTGGGCAGCAGCGATGTCGCCCCAGGCGGGCAGTGAGCCCTCGTGCTCACTGGCTAAATCCCAGGCAGGGAGCAGAGAGCAGGCTCCCAGGCAGAGCATCAGGGTTTCTTCCGGCTGCGTTTCAGCCCTCTTCTTTCTCCGCTTCTTCTTTTTGCCGTTTGCGGCGGAAGGCGGAGCCGCCGCAAACTCGTCGCCTAGACACTGTGCGACGCGCTCGTCTCTCCTTTGCGTCAGACGCTCACACAGGTGGCGTAGGCATTTGCGCACCCGCTCCAGTGGGTACTACTGTCCGGGCGGCGCTCCTCCGTGAGGAGGTCCGCGGCCCGGGTGGCCAGCTCCAGGGTGACAGGACCTCCAGCACCTCGGGTTGGGAACGCCAGTACACTGCTTCCTGCAGCAGACCAAACCTCAGGTGCTCGGTCTGCCGCGCTGTGCTTTCGTGGAGCTCTATCATTCTGTCACGTTATGCGGTGCAGGCAAGCGAGGAAACAGGCAAGCTGAGCCAGGAAGTCCAATAACCGGGGTTTATTGGTCTCAGACGGGCAGACAAGGACAGGAACAGGCATTACTTTGGACAACATCAGTGATAGAACTCGGGAAACTAACCAAGACGTGAACTAAATACACAAGACATGCTGAGGGAAACGAGCAACAGGTGAGAACAATCAGGCAGAAACAGGAGGTA